TCCATTGGACATTCTTTCCTGCTTTGTCAAAGATGAGTTGACCATAGAGTTGAGGGTCCATTTCTGGGCTCTCTATTCTATTCCATTGATCTATGTGTCTGTTTTCGTGTCAGCACCATACTGTCTTGATGATGACAGCTTTGTAATAGAGCTGGAAGTCCGGAATTGGGATGCCGCCAGCTTTGCTTTTCTTTTTCAACATTCCTTTAGCTATTCGGGGTCTTTTCTGGTTCCATACAAATTTTAGGATTGTTTGTTCCAGCTCTGTGAAAAATACTCATGGTATTTTGATAGGTATTGCACTGGATGTATAGATTGCTTTGGGTAGCATAGACATTTTAACAATATCTGTTCTTCCAGTCCATGAGCATGGAATATTTTTCCATTTCTTTGTGTCTTCCTCAGTTTCTTTCATGAGTGTTCTGTAGTTTTCAGAGTACAGATCCTTTACCTCTTTGGTTAGGTTTTCCTAGGTATCTTAATGGTTTTTGGAGCAATTGTAAATGGGATCGATTCCTTGATTTCTGTTTCTTCTGCTTCATTGTTAGTGTATAGAAATGCCACTGACTTCTGTGCATTGATTTTATATCCTGTGACTTTGCTGAATTCCCCTATCAGTGCTAGCAGTTTCTTGGTGGAGCCTTTTGGGTTTTCTACATAGAGGATCATGTCGTCTCAGAAGAGTGAAAGTTTGACTATTTCTTTGCCAATTTAGATGCCTTTTAGTTCTTTTTGTTGTCTGATTGCTGAGGCGAGGACTTCCAGTACTATGTTGAATAGCCGTGGTGAGGGTAGACATCCCCATCATGTTCCTGACCTTAGGGGGAAAGCTCTCCGTTTTTCCCCATTGAGAATGATATTCGCTGTGGGTTTTTCGTATATGGCTTTTATGATGTTGAGGTATGTACCCTCTATCCCTATACTCTGAAGAGTTTTGATCAAGAAAGGATGCTGTACTTTGTCACATGCTTTTTCTGCATCTATTGAGAGGATCATATGGTTCTTGTTCTTTCTTTTGTTAATGTGTTGTATCATGTTGATTGATTTGTGGATGTTGAACCACCCTTGCAGCCCAGGGATAAATCCCACTTGGTTGTGGTGAATAATCCTTTTAATGTACTGTTGGATCCTATGGGCTAGTATTTTGGTAAGAATTTTTGCATCCGTGTTCAATCAGGGATATTGGTCTGTAATTCTCCTTTTTACTGGGGTCTTTGGTTTTGAGATCAAGGTAATGCTGACCTCATAGAACGAGTTTGGAAGTTTTCCTTCCACTTCTATTTTTTGAAACCGTTTCAGAAGAATAGGTGTTAATTCTCCTTTAAATGTTTGGTAGAATTCCCCTGGGACGCCATCTGGCCCTGGACTCTTGTTTGTTGGGAGGTTTTTGATTACTGCTTCAATTTCTTTGCTGGTTATGGGTCTGTTCAGGTTTTCTATTTCTTCCTGTTTCAGTTTTGGTAGTTTATATGTTTCTAGGAATGTATCCATTTCTTCCAGATTGCCTAATTTGTTGGCATATAATTGCTCATAATGTCCTCTTATAATTGTATTTCTGGTGTTGGTTGTAAATTCTCCTCGACCTCTCCTTAGCACAATTTAACCCTTTGTCCTTTAAACTAGAGTTGCTAAAAATTTTCTGTATCCTTAAAAAGAAGGAATGGGTATATATGTCCATTTATGTTTTAAAATTTAAGTGTATCAGAAATTTTCATATTAAAATAATAAAAATATTATAACTAGTTTATTTTTTTTTAAGATTTTTTATTTTTAGGGGCGCCTGGGTGGCTCAGTTGGTTAAGCGACTGCCTTCGGCTCAGGTCATGATCCTGGAGTCCCGGGATTGAGTCCCGCATCGGACTCCCTGCTCGGCGGGGGGTCTGCTTCTCTCTCTGATCCTCCCCCTCTCATGCTCTCTGTCTCCCATTCTCTCTCAGATAAATGAATAAAAAAAAAAAGATTTTTTATTTTTAAAGTAACTCTACACCCAGCGTGGGGCGCAAACTCAAAACCCCGAGCAAGAGAGTCACACGCACCACTGACTGAGCCGGCCAGGTGCCTGAATTATGTTTTAAATTTAGAAAACATTTATCTTCAAAGAAATGTAGAGCATTTTATATTTCCAGTATTTCTGAATTATCTTGTTTCCACCTGCTGAATTATGGGACTCTGCAGTAGTTATGAAGTAATTTTTCTTATGTAGTATATGTTAACATTTGTAAATAAGAATTTTTCTCATTTGCAGGTACAGATTTATGAATTAGAGGAACATAAGATTGAAACATGGAGGGGTAAGCACAATTGGGCGTTAAAAACCTTTTAATATCAGGAAAAAAATGTTCTTCTTAATGTGTAAAATGTTTTAACTTCACGGATCCTTCTCTCTCTGCTTAATAAACTACATGATTAAAGCATTTCTATTTCAATCTCGGTAGTGTACCATACTATTATAAATACGATCCATTCTGTTGAATGGACATTTATGGAGAACCTACAGCGAGTCTGTATACTAAGGCTGGGACATAAGGACGAATGAGCTCGCCTGGGCCCCAGCCGCTGCCCCCAGTGGAGTCACCACTCACTTCTGAGTGTGGCTGTCCTTGCCCGCAGACATGTCTCTATATAGAAAATGCAGCAGGGGAATGCCTCCTACAACTAACAAAAGCAAGGATCTGTTCTTAAATTTAATAATTATTTCTTTACAAATTATGGAGAAGCATAGAACAAATGAACTTTAAACTGGAAGATCTGGATAAATCACATGAAAAAATAACCCTTTAAAATCACAGGATCTTTTCTGAAATGGAGCTACTTTTTAAATTCTCATTCTACGACTGTGTGATTGTTCTTAGACCCATCGTGCTGGATCGGTGGCGGGGGTGGGTGGATTGGACGGGGTGGGAGTCACTGAGGAAGGCAGTCTGATGGACGTTGGGGGAGGGCTTGTGTAGGGGTCTCAGAGAAAAGCCTGCACAGAAACGGAGGGACCTGTAGACAGAAAAACATTAATTAAAAATGGAAAATCTGCTTGGAATGATAAGCAATCTTTGTGAGTGGCAGCTGTGAAATCTGAACGTCCATTAGAATTCTCTAAAGGGCTAGGGGCTCTTTTAATTCCCTTTGACCTGTAAGTTTCATCGAATGATATAGTTGATTTCTAATGGCTTTATTAAGTCAAACCAAACAAACTCGGTCAACATGAAATCTGTATCTTAGCACTGCCTATTATGAATATATAACTTAACACCAAGAAAGATACTTCTTATCAAATTCTACATAAGTAATGTAAGACCAAGATTTATATTTATATTGTATATTTACAGTTTGATATTACATGGTATTCAGAAGTAATAATGGTAATGTCAAGATATTCTTGAATGCTTTCTGTAGAGAAACCTCAGCAAGGCAATTAGTTACAGTGGATCTTTAGAAAGATAATTTCTATAGACTACAAAGATCCCCAAGATACAGATTTTGAGCATTAGTTTGGTAAAATAAAACTTAAGAACGCTTAAAGAACAAAGTTTGTTAAAACTTACGAAAATCAGTTTTAAAGGATTTCATGAGCGCTTCATCTCTGGAGGGTGATAGTAATTTGGTAGCATTCTAGTGACCTCTGCTGGTACTGCTTTTTACATCCAATTGCTTGACTTTTCTTCTCCTTAAAACATCTATTGTAATACTGTTTTCAAATATTTAATTTTTCCACAATGGCAACATCCTGAAAACAGTTTATAAGTTGTTTAAAATAGTCCTAACTATAATTTATACAGTAGTGTTAGGTAAAGTAGATTTATTTGATTTCGGTTTTTAATCCTTCTAATTGTTATCTGTAAACTGAAGAGAAATTTATGTAATAATTGCAAACAGCAAATGTGTTACTAATTGTATATTTTCTTTCTATAAAAACAGAGCTTTATTTACAAGAAACATTTAAGCCTTTAGTGAATATATCTCCAGACGCAAGGTAAACGTGTAAAGTTTTTCTCCTTTAAAAACATTCATTCAGATTCTCGTTTTGTTTCCATGATTGATAGATTTTTTTTTTTAATCTAGATAGGGGACAGCCTCCTTTATTTCAAATATTAAACTTAATAAATTTAGAGACCATAGACTCAGCCATTGTTTGCCCAAAGGATTGATAAGAGGCTGGGAAGATGGTCATACTAAACAGTTTTAAAATCCTGATCACCTGCCGTACAAACCCTCTGGGGAGCTTGTTAATTCTGCCCATGCCTGGGCTCCACGTCCGACCTGCTCGGTGGCCTCTGGAGAGTAGTGCCCAGGAATGTGCATTACAGCAGCCCCCCACCCCCGCCCCCAGGGCCTCTAATGTGCCCCGATGTTGAAGGGCAATCTCTGTTAGACATTGGTCCAGAGGCGGTCAGAAGAACGCGCCGCCCCTCAGTAGCGCTCTAGCACATACGTTGTGATCCAGGCCTTCTGGGACAGCTCTGATACATTTCCACATTGTATGAAAATGTTCTTCAAACTCTAAGCACGAATGAGAAAAAGTGGAATACTGATTTTTATTAGTTTATTTCCAAACAACCAGGTAAACGCACCGGTCTCCTGGTTGGCGGTCCAGGAGTGGGCCGCACGAGGTCGGCCCCAGTGCAGGGCGCGGTCCACAGCTCCCTGACGCTGCTGGTGTCCGTTAGCGGTCCCAGGGGCTCACCGCTGCCGTCCCTCGAACAGCAGCGTTAAACGCACTGCTAGAAACTTCTAGCGATCTGGAGCTGGCTCTTGTATCTGCCATTAACACAGACCAAAAAATCAAAACATTTGCTGAGATAGCCAGTTTAAAACTTTTCCAAAACACGGTTTTAAGTCAAGTCAACCTTTTATTTTTTATTATAAGCTATGATGTAAAAACACTGAAAATGCTTCTAAAGCAGGGGTGGTCCAGAGCGTTTTACATCTCTCTTTAAAGCCTCCTAACAACTTTGATGGCTTTTCCCGCAGCCTCTTCGACGCTGTATACTCGTTGATCAAAAATAAAATCCACAGATTGCCAGTTATTGACCCTATCAGTGGGAATGCACTTTATATACTTACCCACAAAAGAATCCTCAAGTTCCTCCAGCTTTTTGTAAGTAGTTTTTAGTGTTTCTAAAGATGTAGTTGCATCTACTTTAACTAATTTACTTCAAGTAAGTTGGCTCCTATCACCTCAGTAGGAGACATTAATTTTGGCATTGGGATTGTTAGGAGGTCTCCGTTTCTCAGCTGCAATTTCTCAACTTACTTCTATTTAAATTGTACATTCTTCAAGTTGATTCCAATTAAAAAGCAATCGCCTTTCAGTGCAAGTATCAAAATAATAAAAACACTTGGAATTCTCTATTTAAATTAGAATATTTTATCACCTAAAGTATGAGGGCAGTAAAGCAATTTGCAAGTCAGTCTAAGAAAGTGCTGTGTAAGATAAATTGAGCCAGTATTTATAGCAAACTGTCTTATGATGCTTTATTGGTATCATGGTTTTGGAAACATTCAAAAAATACTGTCCCCAGGATTATCTTATTATAAATTGCTGTGATAGAAAAACACAAAGCGAATAAAATTTTGGCAAGAGAGTACCATGTTGGTCCAAATTCGGGCTGTGTTATCTGTAGGTTTTTTCAACTGTATTTGGAATGAGATGTCTTCATAATCATCCATAATATTGACCTCTTTGGTCAGTATTAAAAGAGGCTCAGAAGGACCAGAGTTTTTACAAGAGGGCTTTAATTTTTTTCCTTTGGATTACATGCACTGAGTTTGAGGTTAGAAGTAGTTGGTCACCTGTGACCAGTAGGAGGCCTCATTCCTGCTTCAGAAGAGATCACATGAAGTCATTTTTTTTTTAAAGATTTTATTTATTTTAGAGAGAAAGGAGGACAGAGGGAGAAGGAGAGAGAGAATCCTAAGCAGGCTCCACACTGAGTGCAGAGCCCAACGCAGGGCTCCATCTCACACCCCTGAGATCATGACCTGAGCCGAAATCACAGGTCAGATGCTTAACCTACTGAGCCACCCAGCTGCCCCATGAAATCATTTTTCGAAAGAACTTAATAGACATTAAAAATCTACATCACATTAGCTTTCCCATTTCCTTCCACACAGCTTCAGTTACGGAAATAAACTCGCATTCTGGGGTGATGCAAAGGAGCCAAGGCTCCTCCTCCCGGGGCTCTGCTTCTGTTTTGCAGGCAGAACCACAGGGGGTTTAGTAAGTGGGAGGAATCCCTTGTCCATCAAGCCAGTCCTATATTTTAGTAGTTTACGGGTAAAACTAACACTCTCCGTGGTTAAATAAATGCTAAGAAAGAGGGTAGGAAGTTTACTGAAAAGCACACAGTTTAGTGGAGAGACCGTGTCGGGGATAGTTAGGGACGTGTGGAGATGGCTGGACAGACGTCACCTCTGTTGTGCGCAGGCCTGTGCGCTGCTCGGGCCGCCACCTCGGCGTCCAGGCTGGACGGGACCCAGGCTGGGGCCGTGTATTCAGGGCCCACAGGCTTTCAGCCCCTCAGAGTAAGCATTGTAAAATAACGTTAATCGTCAGAGCTACATACTCTTATGCATTGATGACGGGGCAGCTACTGTCCTAAGCACTTCCCAAGACACGGCTAATCCTCGCCTCTGCCCTCTCAGGTAGGTATATTGATTAATCCCATTTTATAGGTGGTGAAACGGCGAGGTGAAACGACTTTGCAGGTCACCGCGGGCACACGGCAGAGTGGTTTCCGCCCCGCGGCCTCTCGTGGCCTCCCTCCCCCTGCTGCCCCTCAGCTCGGAGGTGCCTGGCTCAGAGGGTTAAACCCACCCCAGGTCTCCCAGGTGTGACGAGGTCGAGTCCAGCCCGTTTTCGAGGCTGCGCCCCTGCGGACGAGGAGCATCAGCTGGAGACAGGCCTTGGTGTTTTCTCTTCATAAAGAGTAGAGGAGGTTGCTTCTGCTGGTACCGCCTTACATTTGGGCCAATATGGTAATTAAATCACGCTCTTAGACTATGCAACGAGAGGTTGCATAAATAAATAAATTTCAGATCCTGGTTTCTACTGAATTGAGATCATTTTCTGAGAAAAAGTGGCCTTACCCGTGGAGACTTTTGACAGTTAGCCTAGGCGTACAATATGGAACAGGGGTTAACCTGCATCAAGATGGGCTAGATGACCTAATAGGTCTTTCTTTTTTTCTCTAAATTTCTAGGATTCTCATGATTTGAATATTGATGAACTCTTTGACTTGAACATTTTGTTTCTTCTAATTGTTCATCTTTTCCTGATAATTATAAGGTACACCAGGAGGACGGAATCAACTATACCCTTTATACAAGGTGGATTTTTGAAACCATAGACCTTATTTTGTTTTAGTCAAACGTGACCCTAGACTTCTCTCTTCTGACTTCTCCCTCCTCCTCTAAAACAGCCCATGAAAAGAAAAGTGAACTTTTAAAGGTTCTTTTAATTCTGTTCAGTTGGCTTGTTCTTTGCTCCTAGTAATCACAAGTTAGAGTCCTCCAGAGGAGAGTTCAGGATGTAGGGTGGGATGGGGTGAGGACTTTCTTAGCCGCAACTCAGACCATTCCCATCAAACGCTCTGGGTTTGGAAATGTGTGGGTTCTTCGTAAATAATGCTGACGGCAGGACCAGGAATTTAACATAAATAACTAAGAATAAAGGATTCTTGGGTGGCTATGGGTCTTAATTTCCAAAGAGACCTCTTGTTTCCTCTTCCATCCATGTTTTCAGGGAGTGAAGGGAAAGGGAACCTTACGATCTGTGTGTTCTGCGGTGTTTTACTGAGTAGTTAATTATAAGCTTAGAATAGAAACCAGTTTGAACAAAAACTACAATTCTTATATGTAACATTTCCATGTTAATTCAGACAGCCAGGTAGATTGCTAGAGAACATGAACTTTAATTTGTTATACGTAAGTTTTTTGTCCAAGTGTGGACATGTGAACATTAAAAAGGTCTGTTTGGGCTCTAGAGCATTTGTGTTTATCTTCCTGTTTAGATGTCTGATATGCCAAAGCCTGCCTTCATGAAGCAGAACCTGGATGCCCTTGGAATTGGGACCTACCACAACATCGCCTTCATCCACCCGGACACTCCCATCATCAAAGCCTTGAACGTCTTTGTAGAGAGACGAGTGTCGGCCTTGCCTGTGGTGGATGAGTCAGGTCTGTGGGTTTGATCATACCAGGGCCTCGGAGACCACACTTTGTCCCCTGGGGGCAAACTTACTGTTAGGTAGTCAATGGATCAGATCCGGTGGGTGGCGGGCAGGGGTTGGGGATGAAAATTTAGATAAGGCAGATCAAGTCAGCACCAAGGAGCCCTCGGGTTAATGAGAACTCTAACTGGCTTATTTTCACATCTTCCATTAACATATGATTTCATGTTCATTTAAAGTTAGACAAGTTTGTTACTTAGCAATACTTAATTGCTAGTAAATATCTGGTTAAGATAGATTTTAAATGTTATTTTTTGTTCCTAGGACATTTTTCTAACCTCTGTTTTCATTTTTAGGAAAAGTTGTAGATATTTATTCCAAATTTGATGTAATTGTAAGTATTTTTAATTTTGTCACACCTGTCATCTAGAATGCATTTAAAACATACTTACCTGTTTGCGGTTTTCCCTAATTTAATAGCTTTTGTGGATGTGTGGATCAGAGGATTCCGTAGACTGCCCATAGTCATTGTACTTAATGTTCACTGGCTTAGCAGTGAAAAATATGTTAGTATTTTATAGTTGTCCTTTCAGTATATGGATAGTTTATCCAGCACTATAGCATGTGTAAATACTTTAAATGGTCCTATTGCCATGCACAAGACATTATTCATTCTGCCAGCAGGCAGGTGCTGTGCACACATGAATTTGTGGATCCCTTGCTAAGGATCCCATTGTTTGCTGATGGGAACAACCGTTCTAAAGAAGACAGCAAAAAGCATTCAGGAGAATGATTGAAGGTCCTATTTTTTAATCCCCAGTATAAATCTATTAGCGGTAGTGCTACATCTTTCCTCTGGCTGCTTTCTTTTCCCCATTTTAAATGTGCTTCCTTAGGGTTTTATGGTATTTCTAAGAAAGTGAACTGAAACTTTAGTAGCCCCAAATGTGCTCATCATTTTTGGCCCTAATGCTGATCGCAGTGTTAAATACTTCTTTGCAACCAGCTGTCTCAAACCCTTTTGTTTCATTTATTCTGCTTAACGATAACAGACATCCAAAAACAGGCTGATTGGAATTTGGTTGAGTAGGACCGTCTAAGGCTAAAGCCCCGTGGGTCTGTGGGCCCTGTCTGGCCTGCTCTTCTTCCACGGCTGCTCGATCCCGGGGCTCCCTCAGCGCCTTCCCAGCGGAAACCTGGCTCCCCGGGCCAGGGCACCCTGGGGCGCTCCTCACCCCTTACAAATGTTAGTCCATCTCTCCAAAGGCTTTATTCACGTGGGCTCTAGAGCCTCACAGGGTAAGAATGGGGGGATTCTTCTGAAGGCCATGCCGACGCTATGTCACAAGGGTGCTCCACGACGAAGGTCTACCTCGTAAGCTTTAGTTATTATTAATGATGAAATTCTGCTAACGGCATGTGATAACCTGGCATGGTGATGAACATGAATGTTTTTAAAAATCAGGTCACTTGAAACTTACTAATTTTGGTTATGAATGTGAATTGAAATGAAAGGATATAATTCATTGTTACTTTATTACAGAACCTTGCTGCTGAAAAAACCTACAATAACCTAGATATCACAGTGACCCAGGCCCTTCAGCACCGCTCTCAGTATTTCGAGGGTGTCGTGAAGTGCAGTAAGCTGGAAATCCTGGAGACCATCGTGGACAGAATAGTGCGGGCTGAGGTGAGGCAGCGGGGCCACTCCTCCCTCCCCACCCCTGCCCCAGCCGCACTGCCCCAAGTACTCACTGGCCGGGGTGCCACGGGGGACGGATCGTGAATCGCAGGAACGGCCAGGGAAGCAGAGGCAGGTTCCATCGGATATCGTGCTTTCCCTCTCCAGAACCTCGCGTGTTGCCTGATGCGTAGGTGATCTGGAAATGTTTATTGAATTGAATTGATAAGTCCTGATATCATAGTTGAATCAAACTGGTAAGAGACTTCCATGGTTTAAAGAATACATAATTAAGAAAACAAATATCCCAAGAGCTTTGAGTTCCATTAGGGTATTTATGAATTTGAAGTTAAAAATGTGTGATTATATAGTTTTAACAAAGTGAAGGATAAATCAAAATTATCTTTTGATCTTTTTAAGTTAATTTTCTCTCTTGCCTGATTTGGATAATAGTAGACAGTCTGATAACTTCACTTCCTGACCCTCAGCACTCACGTGCCCTCATACTTTACTGCGTGTAGGATTTTTGGGTGTACTAAAATAAAAGATGAGCGAGATCACTGGATAACGCATCTAATTCAGTATACCCACTCCCCAAATCATTTCTTTCCTTTCTTATTAGCCAGGGATAGGAATGTTCTCCCATTTATCCCTCTCTAGGACTGAAGGATGCAGCAGTGTTCTTTCTGGAACAATCCCTGAGTAGGCAGAATCCATTCATAATGCTATGTCTGCTCTGGTACTTTTTACTGTAAATATGAGAATGCAGTCCAAGAAGAAAAGTCCCTGATAATTTTTTAGGCTAACAGGTGTTCTTAACATTACATATGAAGTAGGGGTCGCATCAGAAGACGGCCTCCCTTGCTGGAGCCGTCAGATAGAAACACAGCTCTGTTTTCATCATTGGGTACTGAAGACTTCCACCTTGCCCTGTGCTCACCTGAGGGGAGTCTCCAGCCCCCATTACCACTACTGTGGCTTTTGAAACACATTTCACTAGCATCCCAGTATGAACTCTTAACTTTTTCTACTTGAATTTAATATCCATCAGTCTTGTTTTCCAAAGAGTTTTCATTGACTTAGGAATACATCTTAACTTTTAATAAGGTCCTTAGAATTACGTGCCTTTTGAAGATCATAGGTAATGATCCTATTTATAAGGACAATGGACATCCATATGATAGAGTCCCTCGTAACAGTGAAAAATGTTCTAGAAGAGTATTTGGTTGATATGAAAAAAAAAATTAGCAATGTATTGCTAAGAGAAAAAGCCAATTACTGTATATAGTATGATTTTATTCATTTATATGCATATATGTGCAGAAGAGAGGCTAGAAGGACCCACAGCACAGTACTAACTGGCTGTTCCCGGGTGGCGGGGTTCTGGCTAATGTGGAGAACACGGGGAGTGCAGGGCTCCTCCATTCTGAGCTCTCTTGTTGGAGCATATATCCCTCAGGTAAAAGAAAAAAGGTAATTGGCTTGTCCTTTCAGTTCATCTGGCAAGCAAGCAGATATTTCTTTGTAATAGGAAATGGGTCATTGAGGAAAATAAAGATGTAATTCAATACTTTTCTCATTATGCATCTTGACTTTTTTCCCCATTAAATTAATTTCTTGGGGCACCTGCGTGGCTCAGTTGGTTAAGCGTCTGCCTTCGACTCAGGACATGATCTCAGGGTCCTGGGATTGAGCCCCACATCGGGCTCCCTGCTCAGCGGGAAGCCTGCTTCTCCCTCTCCTCCCCACTCAGTGTTCTCACTCGCTATCTCTGTCTCTCACTCTCAAATAAATAAAATCTTTTAAAAAAATTAATTTAAAAAAAAAAATTTCTTTCACCCAATGACTCCTTACTGGGGGACCAAGGTCAATTTTACCTTAAATACAGTTGTTGGAGAAAGGGCATACAGTATCAGCAATGATTTATTTATATGACATAAATACCACACCAGCTTTTTGATACCCAGGAATATTCACTAGTTTAGACTCAGCAGCAAATGACAAGAAAATGTTTTTGGTGGTCATTTCTGCCTGGTAGAATTAATTCTCTGGGTGAGATGGCCACCCCTTGACCTTCAGTAGTTCAAAAGAGAGTTATTTAATTAGCATTATTGATCGTTAACAAAATGTGTCTCATAGACGATAAAGCATTCTCTGATCCTAGATATAAGCTGTTATTTTAATTTATAAATAATTGTATTGCAGAATTATTGAAGACCCTATAGTTTTTTTAGAGAGATTTTTCAAGTTTAAGTAATCTCTACACCCAGTGTGGGGCTCAAACTCAGGACCCAGAGATCAAGGGTTGCATGCTCTTCTGACTGAGCCAGCCAGACTCCCCTAGAAAAACTTTCAAAAGTCATGTCATGAGAAAGAACAAAGTCATTTTTTTTTAAACCCAAAGCAAACTAAGATGTGAAAAGCATCCCCAACACAGTATCAGAGACAAATCTAAAAACAGAATTTCCTTCCCTTTCCATCTCCTTCCTGTGCCCCCCACAGTGTGTGTGTGTGTGTGTGTGGGAGGGGGAGTAACTGTTACATAGGGAGAAGAGGATCATCTCCAGGGTAACTAGCAGGTGTGTGGCTGCCTCAGGCCTAAGTGCTAAAGCTTGGAAGTCAGAGGTGCTCAGAGAAGCTTGATGCCTGCTCACTCCTTTCCTGTGTTAAGGATGCTTTGTTAGAGTAATACCTCTGGCCATTCGCTTATAAAAGACCTGAGTAGAACATGAGATGTGAATATACTCTATTTCACTTTATTATAGTTCATTTATCCTCTGAACCATATGAACATATTAATATATGAACTTCGTGGAGAAAAGACTATAAAACAATGAACTGTGACCTGTTCTGTTCCAGCTCTCACTTGGATGTCTTTCCATGTAAATCAGTAGTGGATAGTTACTAGAAACTGAAATACTACTTTAAAAATGTAAAAACTGGGCGCCTGGGTGGCTCAGTTGGTTAAGCGACTGCCTTCGGCTCAGGTCATGATCCTGGAGTCCCTGGATTGAGTCCCGCATCGGGCTCCCTGCTCGGCAGGGAGTCTGCTTCTCCCTCTGACCCTCCCCCCTCTCATGTGCTCTCTCTCATTCTCTCTCTCTCAAATAAATAAATAAAATCTTAAAAAAAAATAAAAAATAAAAATGTAAAAACTTATGCTTAAGAGAGTATTATGACTACATCGTAGTTCATGTTTTGGATTGTATCATTCATATGTTAATATTCTAAAATCTGAGAATAGCGGGACATAGCTGGCAAATTTTTCCTACAAGTAGGTAAAGTCAGCATTGCATTTTAACTTTAGAGCCTAAGACCTTTCATGGTTCTGGACACGGTTTCTGTCTCTTATACGTGGGATGTATTCCTTGTATAGTATATGAAAGACGTATTTGCGAATACCCATTGTAGGTAGAACCTTCTGTAAACTGACAGGGGAGCTACTTGTCTCGTTTGCAGGTGCATCGGCTGGTGGTCGTGAACGAAGCAGATAGCATCGTGGGTATTATCTCCCTGTCGGACATCCTGCAAGCACTGATACTCACGCCCGCAGGTATGCGTGCCGCCTGCCGGCCCTTCCCTTAGCACACAGGCCGAGCGGGGAGCAGGGCAGGCGCCTCCAGCAGCTGCTTCTCCAGCACCCACGCCTCTGGAAACCCCGTGCACTTTCTGTCTGGTTTTTCTTTGTAGTTTTACTGTTCTAGTTGGGTGAGAGAGAAAAGTTTATAGAAAGTATTCTTAGCATCCTATCGACGACCACAGTGCCTGAATAATTGAGGATTCGTTGCCAGATTCATAACCTTTTCCATTAAAAAGCTAAGATCTCTTTGGAAATTACATCAACTAGTGAACAGCACCGGTGGCTAATCTCGTTTTCTGCCAGATCAACTCTGAGCAAGCGCTCACACCGCAGTCAGGGAGCATGCAGGGAGATGGGGGAGGGGGCCCCAAAAAAAGAGGGGTTGGTGTGTCCTGTGTGCCATGTTTAACAGTGAGGGGTGGGCTGAAGGGTCCGATAACCACCAGCCCTCTTTCTCCTCCCTGCTTCTCCCCTTCCCACCCCCATTAAGTACAAACAGTCCAGCCTGGGGCCGGACTAAGCTGTGCCAAGACAGGCCAAGACCACAGACTAAGTCACTTCTGAGAGGTTGAAGTGTGCATATACTAGAGTATTGATTTTTCTTGAGTTCAGAAACCAAACTAGCCAAGACTAGGTTTCAGTTGGTTTATAACCTAAAGATGCTCATCTGAAAGGAATCCGTGGCACCAGTGAGAAACAGCCCATCCACGGTGTGAGAGCAGCAACACCTGAGGGCCGTCCATGGAATCAAACTCTCGAGCTGGGGCCTCGGACAGTCAGTTTCAATTTCAGCTCTTAGGGAACCTGAAACTCACGATACTCTTCATAATCATGAAATAGTGATAAAATGACTAAATGAATATGAGACTGTTGACAGCATTATTTGTAATAACCCAAAACTGGAAATAACCCAGACACCTAGCAGAAGCAGCAGATTGCAGGACATTCGTTCTGTGGAATGCCCCACACAGAACTGACCATGAACACACATTGCTATATTCGACCTCACACACGTGACATCGAGCAGAGGAGCAAGACCAGTCCAGGGAGTGCGATGACACTAACCTACAACTTCCACAGCTCCCTCATGCGCAGTGGGAAAAGGCCTCCTCAAGAGCAGACTCCTCCTTGCAGGCACGTAGCTTCGCACCTTCAGAAAAAGGCACCCCTTTCCCCGGGCAGCAGGCCTGGGCCAACGCACACATGTGCCCAACAGCGTCAGCGAGAATTTCAGCCCTCCTCTGTCCTGTGGCCAAGATTCTTCGTGCATTACAAACTCAAGAGCAAACAAGTCAAGTTCTTTATCGTCTTTATGCCTAGTGTCACAGGCCATAAGAATGAGAATGTTGCCTGGGGCTCCTGGCTGGCTCAGTCACTAGAGCATCAGACTCCTGATCTGGAGGTTGTGAGTTCAAGCCCCACGTTGGTATAGAGATTACTTTAAAACAACTTTTTGAAAAGTTTAAAATGAGAATATTGGGCTGCATGAGTTTACATTTCCATCCACATTTGAGATTTTAAAAATTCTAAGTCCCTAATACTGCTCTGTGGAGAGGAACCCTGTTTCACAGCCAGAATTTGAAATGTGCGTTACCACAGAAATAACGTTCTAAAGATAGTAGTTGAATTGGAATTCTCTACAATGTAATGTGTAGAACACTATTTAGGAAGACAGTCCGTGTTCCTAATAACTGGATGACAAGTGAACATTTGGAGCAGAACTCTCCTGGAACACAGGGCCGGCCCGCCTCGGATCAGCAGCCCTTGAGACGCTCACACCGTGAGGGACGGCGCCGTGTAAGCATCAGACGAGTGCAGCCCGATGTGCCTGATTCCCCGCCTGCCCTCCGAGCTGCCCGAGTGTGGGCAAGCTGCTCAGCTCGTGTAGCCTCTGCCCATGCAGCTGTAGAGCGAGCGGCCCAACACAGGCCTGCAGCCCTGCAAAGATACTCTGAGTTGAAACCAAAACCGTGCACGAAGCGGCTTGTGCGTGACGAGGCACCATCCGTACCCAGGGGCCGCGCCGCCGGGTGGGTGTTCACGGACTAGGCAGGAAGAGGCGCTTTTAGAAAGCGGCCACTGTTACGCGAATAAAAGGTACCAGAGGTCATTCTTTTCAACAGCTGACAGACGCAGTCCTCCACGGAGGATACCGACTTGCCATCATAACAGTTTAGCAGCAGCTAAAGTAAAACTTAGACCATCCAAAGGAACCGCATATATGCGCACACACCACCAGTGAGTACCTGATCTGGAAGCAGGAGCTACAACTTGCTAGCCCCTTGTTTTTATAGGTTGTTAATCTCTTTCCAAAGTCGTTTTGTGCCTGAAGCTAAAACAGGAGAAGCTGCTGTGATGAGAAAAATGGTAGCGCTCCCACCGGCCCATTTGGAAACGTGCCAGCCAGATAGGTGTTCCGTGCAAATATCCATGTTACGCTTTTTTAAAACATTCTCATGAGTGTGTACAGGCGCACTTCAGAGATACTGTGGGTTCGGTTCCAGACCAATGCAGTAAAGCGAATATCGCAATAAAGCAGATCCAAGGAATTTTAAAACGACCACGAGCAGGCCTTCACTGGAAGAGCCCTCCCTGCGGACGGGCCACCCGCCCCCGGAGCTCTCAGCGGGGCCGTCTTCCTGCCGGTGGAGGGTGGGGGCG